ATAATTGCTCAGTGTCAAAACCCTGACCCTGATGGAACGCTGTTAACCACTTGTCCTTGCTATCATTTTCAAATTGATTGACAGGTATTTTTAAATGCAATTACTTACATAAATGATTTGACTGGGGGCAGGGGCGGACTGGCCACCGCGACGGTCGGACGATGTGGGCCGGTCGGAAAAGTCACTAGCACCACCACCCCCCCGGTCGCTCGGCTTAGTACGGTATGGCTATAGGCCTCGTTAGGCCAGGCTCACTTTATGCTGCGTTCCCAAAAGTTTAGGAACTGGGGTAGTAACTATAGTAACGCAGTGTAGGCGGAGCCGTGACGTCATCTTCAATACAGAACACAAAACCAACATCAACAGTTAGCTGTTAGCACTCAGAGCTCACAGCTCCTCATATCTGTTCAGACAAAGGTTAAACAAGTACAAACCACAGACTGTCTGTGTCATGGCGAATACAGTCGCTGGTTTATTTATATAGGCCGTTGTTGTGAGTGTGGACGGTCGGAGCATACTGCGTTAGCTTAGCCAATCTCCATTCAGAAAACACACGTTTTAAAAGGTTTTTCGCCTGCCGTCTTGTCTGCAGACTTGTCAAAGCATTAACTCATGGTTTTTACTGACCGGTATCAGTATGTTGTTCCTTCGGCATCATTTTGAAATGTGCATTACAATGAAATCACGGTAAAATATGTTTATTTTGTAGTTGCCAGCGATTCTCTCACTAGTTTAGCATACTCAGCCCGGTTGTTGGCCCGGAAAGAACCTCGATTTTGGAGAGCCAGAAAAATGTGAAAAAGTGCCAGCTAGCCGCCGGAACTACGACTAGTGGAAACACAACCAAAAATGGGCCGGGTACGGCACGCTTAAACCGCGCTGTAGTGGAAATGCGCCATTATATACATTTTAAAACACAGGTCAATTATACTAAAATTATATTTGAAAAAGCACCTTTATTAATTTGAAGAATAAAGTTGAAAGTGTTCCCTTCCAAATTGAAAACCAAATAAAATAGAAAAACTTCACCTGCAGAAAAGAAAGAATGGGATTCATTCTCCCCATCCCCTAAATCTGCCCCACCCCTTTAGTTGCATTGTTAAGGCCTTGTTGCCGCACATCCTCAGTCACAGCAGGGACAGAAAGTTGGCTCCATACCGATCAACGTGTAAGTATCAAACTTTTATCCTATTTAACTACTTTTCATAATTTTGTTAATGTTTTAATTCAAAATGAGAATGTCCTTAACAACTGTTACCATGTTTGACTAGTAGTTGATCAAATCATCTTCTTTTATAATGTTTTCCTTTGGACGAGATGTGGTTATAAAACACATTTCATAATTTGTTATTTATTTCAAGGGGGTGTTTCAACATTTAATGAAACTTAATCCACATAAAGAGTGAGAACCAAAGTTAGAATACAATAAATCTACAAACAAATGAATGATACAAACATATTTTTGAAAGAAGGTGTCTGGTTTTGTCTGCGTGATTGAACTATGTGTTTGTATCTCTTTTATATATTTGTCTATATTCTGTGGGTGTTTTTTGTTACACAATAGTAGTCATACACACAAAAACAAAAGATAGTTGAAGGACAATACGATTCAGTCCATTGTGTTGGACTGAATAGCACTCATAGCAAACTGAGGTTTATGCATCGTCAGGCTCCAGTGATCTGAATCAACATGTGTATAAGCTTCTTCTTGCCCCTTTTGAACATGATGGAAACTATTCTATGAGAATTAATGTTTTTATACCTTGAACTTTTATTTATTTTATTTTATTTTGATTCTCTTTGTTATAATTATTATAATTATTTGTTTTGTTTCTAACATGTTCAATATATTTACTAACAATAATAAAAATAAAAAACATGTTATTTCATTCATGAAATGTGGGAGTCTTTTTTATTTTTAATGAGCACCGACATGAAACATATTTAATATTTGTTTAGGTTGTACGTAGTTTGGAAATGAAACTACAGTTATGTCAAGTTGTGTTGTTTGCTTTTAAATGAATTGATTATTCAGACATAGCAACGGGTAAATACTACTGAAACGATTCATGCCAGAAAAATATAATGGTTTACATATTTCTTATTGGATTTAAACTCATGATTTTCTTTCTATTGTTGCCTAACCCCACAGCACACACATGAGCAAGTAATTATAACTGCATGTAAGGCATTTTTAAACTGATTAACTTGATGTTTGAATAAGGGCTCCATTTTAAACTAATGTTGACTGATTCACTATAACCCTAAGGTCTCTGTTTGATCATCACCAGCTTGGGTGAGTTTATGTACAATAAAAAGCCTGACTTGCACCTTAATTAATTCCCCTAATTATGAACGATGTTTATCAAGAACGTTCACTGATGTCTTACATGTTTCAGCCTCTTCCAACCTGGTGTGTTACTACACCAGCTGGTCCAAACACAGAGCCAAGGAGGGGAAGCTCAGCCTTTCAGATGTGTACCCATCTGATCTACGCCTTTTCTGGCATTAATGATGCCAATGAGCTGGCTTCCGTGTGAACGGGATTACACACAAAGTTACGCACAAAGTTACAGTAATACAAAGAAGATGAACAGTACATTACAATGCAAAACACAAAAATGTCTATATTAAGGAGTTGCATCTACTTCAAATCCAGAGACTCCAGCTGTACAATAGACCAGCCTGGCTCTGCAACTGCAGACATTATAACTAAAGCTGCCTCAACCACTCACTACAGCCTCCACCACGACAACCACCACGACAACCCCCACCACGACAACCACAACCTCCACCACGAAAACCACCACACCATCCCCTGCTCGGAAACCTGATTCTAATTTCTGTAAAGGAAAGGCAGATGGGCTTCACCCTAACCTTAATTACCCAACCTCTTTTTACATTTGTGCCAATAACATTACCCCATTGACTGCCCAAAGGGTTTGGTCGACCAAGATAACTGCAAGTGCTGTAACTGGCCCTAAATGAGCGTGTATTATTGGTACTATACATGACTGGTAATTAAAACACCCCACATACATTTTTGGTTGGGTTTTTATTATCCATATTGGTGTTCTTGTGACGATCTGCAGTACTTCCTCCTTCTTTTTCCCCTGTCTGTGTTTGTTTTGTCTGTGTGTCTGTCTTCCTGGCTGGGCGTGGCTACCTACATTCCGATTCCCGCCAACTCACCTCCTCAGCTGCTGCTCATCTCACTGATTGCCACTACTCACCTGCACCTGCTTAAAACCCTGGTTCCCATCCTCAGACTTCGCCAGTTCTTCGTTTATTCTTCAGTGGTAAACTATC